GTAAGAATTCGCACTTGTCTGGTTAGAGCTTTAGATTGTTCTTTCTTAATCTTTGAAGAACTAATTTTAATCTTTTGTTCTGTAAGGCTAGGGCGTGTGTATATATTACAATGTCGAGATATACTAGACATTTAATTCCTTGCAAACCCGTTAAAATTGAATTCATTAATCGTTGGAAGGTTGCAGGTGCGTTTTTTAAACCAAATGGCATTCTGTTAAATTCATAATGACTGTATGGCGTAGAGAATGCAGTTTTATTTTTATCTTGCTCCGCCATATCTGGTGGTAATCTGATGCGAGGTCCAAGTCGTGAAGTATTTCGCGTTGCCCAGTTGGTCAAGTATGTCCGTTATGTTGGACAACGGAAATGAATCTCCGATTGTGAGATCATTTAATTTTCTGAAATCTACTATTCGTACTACAATTCGTAATTTTATTTTTCCTGAAGCGTCTGTCTTTTTCGGCAGGACTAGTGGTGCGTTCCATTGGCTGATGCTCGGTCTTATAATTTCCTGCATTAGCATTTCTTGAATTTGTTTGTTTACCTCGTCTATGCTTTTCAGGTAAACGGTAAGGTCGTTCGTTTACTAGTGACGAATCTGTTCGTTACTTCGTGCTTGTCTTGTGCACGTTAATGTGTCTCCTTCTAGGTGAAACATATCATTATACTCGTGACATAATTCTAGTACAGATTTTCGTTCTTCTTTATTTAAATGTTCTGTGCGTAAAGAATTGTTTATTTGCTCTTCTCAAGAGATTAATTTTGTACTTTTAATTTAATTTAATTTAATTTTGTAATTTTTTACTTCTTATCTGTATTGTGTTCACAAATTCTTGTGTTATCTTTTCTTGTATATCTATCTCTTCTAATGTTATTTGCAGTACCTGAATTTTTTCTTCTTCTGTAATATTTAGTATACTGATTGGACATGTATAATTTCGCGGTTCGACTAGGCAACAGCCAATAAAAATTCCAGGTATCATTTCCTCTGGTTTCGTCAATCCGATTATGTTTTGATTAGTCGTGACTTGCACGATTGTTTCATTGCGCGGCCCTAAAGTTACGCGCCTGTATGGGTAAAATTTAAAATTCGTATTTTTAAATTGCACAGAATTTGGGTCGAACGCAATTATATATTGCCAAATGAAATCTGCTCCTAAGATCGTGTCGCATTCTATTGGCGCGTTATCTTGCTCTATATATACGGGGTATCTTTTTTCGCGATAGTTGAACCGTAATATGTGCTTTGCCCAGTATTATCTCATGTCCTGTTATGTCTGTTAGTTCAGTTTTTTCCTCGTAGATTAGGACGTGGTCTAATAAATGTTTTAATTTTATTATTGATGCGCCCGTATCAAACAAGAAATTTATTTTTCTACCTTTGGCCTCTGCAATCGGTAATGTGATCGCGTTTAGTCCAATGTTGACGAGCGATGTCCCCTTGACGTGTGTCACGCGATACTCTGACACGGGACGGTCGGTTTACTTTCGCCGGCTTCGCTCTTCTTATTTTTAAAGTTCTTCGCGGGATTTTCTCTTTGCGAATTCGAAAAAATGTTTTCGGAATTTTTACTGTTTTCTGATTTTCCATGTCCAACATTCTTGGCGCAAATGTCCTATCTTTTTGCAATAGCTGTACTGTTTTTCGATTGTGTTTACTCGTGGTTGTCCTTCCGGCTTAAGGTATATCTATTTGTGAAACGGTTAGTCCTGCAATCGCGCCCGTAATGACCGATTTCTCGCAACGCGGACTTGATGGATGCGCTTTAAATATTGGCCGGTTTCGATAGGTTTGCATTTGAGTGCTAAGTTCTCGTGTTTTTTCTTCCGCGGTTGCTCCTGCGATCGCTTCCTGTATTGTTTGGTATCGCTATGATCGTACAATCAATTTAATCTCTTCATGTAATCCGTTCTGATAATTGTAAAGCGCCTGTTCTTGTATATTTTCTAAGATCGCGCGTTGCTGCTCGATATGGTTTTTGCCTTCTTCCATGGATTCGTATAATTCCATGGCTATATTGTCTGTTCGCTTACCGAATTCTTGCGCGCTCTCGTTTGATTTTTGAGCGAGTTAAACTCGAGTTGCAAATATGCGGTGGTTCGTTTGCTCAAATATTCCTTTTCCAATTCTCATTTTAATTGCTCGAAATTTACTATATCTCGCGTATGAAAATCCATCATGGCCTTGCCTTTGAATTTGGTGCAAAGGACAGTTTCTAATAAAGAGTGTTCATCCGCAGGATGTATATTTTTTATCGCGTATGTGCTTGCGTTTAGAAATTCGTACACGTGTCCTCGTGACGTGCCGTCGAGCTGGGATCATGTTACGCGCGTCTTTCAATATTAGAAATGCCAGTGCGTTCCCCTAATATTTCGTATGTCCTGACACAAACGTCCTTAAGTTAAATCTAACGGGTGCGGCAGAAAATCTTGCGATACTCTCGTTCGTTCGCCCATAGGTAATTGTGCCTGCCGACTTAAATCCATTCACTTGTACACGAAGATCGCGTATTTCATCCATTAATTCACGAAGCATGATATTTTCGGGCTGTGTGTCAATTGTGACGTGGCGGTTTATTCGACTTTCTCGTGGTCCGTGTCGATTGACTGAATGCCGTAGTTGCAAGATTTCGTTATCGATTTCGTTCTGTTATTGGTGAGTGAGCCATTTCGTTTATCAGTGATTGATATATGTTAAAAGAGTTAAATATGCTTCCGTCTCGTAAATTTGTTTGTGTATGTTTGCGTGTCTGTACGTGTGTGTCAATGTGGGAGTCGGTGTTGTTTAATGCGAGCAAGCTATAATCTTTTTCATCATACGGAAATTCGCGCTCGGTTATAACGTGAACGTCTTCGTCACTTTCGTATCTTAATACACGGCGCACGTTATCACGTATTTCTTTTAACGTCTCTCGCGGTATTTATCGCGGAGATAGTGTGCGGAAATTCTACGGGGTTGTTTGTTGGCCGCGATTTTGGCCAAATTGTATACGCTAGACTGTCCTTCGCTGCGGACATTCGCTTTACAAAATATGGTTTTTCTGATTTACATTAGAAGACAGATCGAATACGCTCGCATGGTCGCTGTTTGTGCTGACGTGTCAGTTGGCTGCGCGTAGTAGTGCGTGTCGGTGAAGCGTCCTCGCTGGTGGTCGATGTACACGGTCGGCGCTGGCTGGCTCTCGGTGCTCGTAGATTCTCCGGTCGTTGTTCCGCTGTCTCTAGATATTCGTAGATCAGCATTCTGCTGACTTTACACTGACACTACACTGAATTTCGTGGGCGACTTATTTTTTAACGCGGTCTTTTCCGTACGCCTTTTTTCTACAGGTTTTGTATTTTCGACTTATAGAAATTTGATTCTTCTACCTGCAGCTTGTAATCTATTACTGCAGATCTTATTTTGTTTTGCACAATTGTTAATATTCGGGCTAGTCGGGTTCGCCAAGCCTAAAGAGTTGAAACTCCGAGCAGGATCAAAGGAATGGGTTCTCTCGAAATCACTAATACACACTTTCTTTTACTTTGATTGATTTATTTTAACAAGAGTACAAAAGAGTACAAGAGTACTTGGTTTTATAACGATTACATTTTACACACACGATTGAACGTCGTCGGGCGACTCGGCGTGTCTCGCGTTACTCTAGCGGCCGACGACCGAGTGTGACACCTGAGCTGCTGATAGTACGGCTCGCGTGAACTTCACGACGGGATTCTGTAATATCTTGCGCGACTTTTATAATATTGATTCCGAACGACTTGTAATTTTCGACTCCTCTTATTCCCCTTTGTGTAATCGATTATATAGATTGATCGATGCCCGATCAGCATTCCGATTTCGGTTGCGTCGATTGATTGCATGATGTTAATTGATCAATATCACACTCGGTTCGATCATCAAATTTAGGAATTTGCTGATAGACTTTTCACAATATTCTTGCGCGATGCGTTTCTGCGTCTTTCGAAAGACTGATCGCAATTTCGGCGATCACACATTGTGTTGTAACAGTACGTCCCTGCGCGCTCGGATCTTATCTCTGGGCATGGACGCGAGGACGTGCGCTCGATTATCGCTCGTCGGATGCCGGGTTCGTGTGAGGTGTTGCGGCCGCTGAGTTTTAATTTCTAATTATAATAAATTTGTGACGCCTGTCGCTTGGCGCAGTCGTTCTTTGCCGTTTTTTCTTGGCCGGTCGCTTTGTGATGTAACGCGATTCGATTACGGATATGTCGGACGCCGGGAGTCGTATCGGGATGCGCGTTGCCAGGCAACCGGGCCCGCGCGTGTGCGTTGCTAGGCAACCGTTGACGCTAGCCGTGACACGTGGGGCGGATGTCGCGGGAAAATCCGAGAACGCTCCGACTTTCGAGATGAGATGGAGCGACAATACTGAGAACTCTCGGTATTGTCGGGAGGAGGAAAATCTAAGAACACTCCGATTTTTCCTCAGAAGGGAGATGCAAGAATACGGAGAACGCTCGGTATTCGCTGAGAGAATCTTCTCTCGCTGTTCTGGTCGGAACGGTTGTCTGTGACGGACAGGTCGGAGAAGCGGATAGGACTGGTTCTCTTCTTAAAATTTGTCGGGTATTTATACCCGTATCCGCGCCATGTGTCACCGTTTAGTTTGTTAGCGTTTGTTAATGTAACAATAGCTGTCACGTCGTCGATGCATGACAGTTTGCCGGCGCGCGTGTGTCGGTCGGTCGCGGTCGGGAGTGTTCGGGCGGCCTCGGATGGCGTGAGCCGCATTAGCGCGCGCTAGTAACGGAGCATCTTTCGGATGCTCTGTTACAGTGTCTTTCGAAAGATTTTTTTCCAAAATTTATGCGGACTACTTTTATTATTAGTTGTAGGTCTGGCTACAACAAAAATATTCCACTTAATACAAAATTTTTGTAATAAATTGAATTACACTTAATACAAAATTTTTGTAGTAAATTGAATTACACTTAATACAAAATTTTTGTAGTGAATTGAATTACTGTAAATATTTAGATAAGAAAATATTTATATTTAAAAAAAATTATTACCAAATTATTATAAATTTCATCAACTTCTTCGAAGGCCAAGAAATCGTCTACAGTTGTAAATAAAATTCCTGGTGATTTCACTGATCTTTTTATTACAGATTGTCGCAATAATCGTTTAATGATTTTCGCATTTTCACTGCAAGAAAAAATGAAATTATAGAATTAAAAATTAATTTACAGTATAATAAATCATTAATACTTACTTGGTTTTATTTTCAATAAAAATTTGTCGTTTTTCCATACGACGTAGTTGAACCATGATCATTCTGAAATAAAATTTAATGTCTTTATTCGTGCAACGACTATCTTTGTATCATTTGAAACTTTTTTGTATTTTTGAAACTTTCTTTAAAGACCGCATTATATCATAGGATGTTCCTTCCTCTCTTGTCCATTTTTCTTCATATTTTTGTCTGCTTGGTGATAAGCGATTGCATTCTGCGGATGCTGATGCTACTTGTTTATGTTGTAATGTATTTGATGATGGATGAATGTTTTGTGTGAATGATTGTTTGGATGGTGAAGGCGAACGTAATAATGTCTGTGTTATAATGGTAGTTTTTTTGATGATGGATAAATGTTGTGTGTGAATGATTGAGTGGTTGAATGTGAGTGTGATAAGATTGTCTATGTTGTAATGGTGCTGTCCATTTATGATTGTGATGGTTTTGATGATGAATGAATGTTTTGTATGAATGATTGTTTGGATAGTGAAGGCGAACGTGATAATGTTTATCTGCGTTATAATGGTAGTTTTTTTGATGATGGATAAATGTCGTGTGTGAATGATTGAGTGGCTGAAGGTGCATGTGATAAGATGGGTTTATGTTGTAATAGTGCTGTTTGTTTATGATGTGATGATTCTGACGATGAATGTTTTGTGTGATTGTTCGGATGAAAGCGAGCGTGATAATGTTTGTTTGTGTTGTAGCAGTTGTTTTGATGTTGAAGGAATGTTTCGTGCAAATGATTAGATGGCTACTGAAGGCAAATGTGACAAGATGAGTTTATGTTTTATGATGATGGTGATGAAGAGGACATGTGTTTATATGATTCTTTACATGATGATGATGATGATGATGGATGAACATGGTAAAGATGATGCTGACGATTGTGCATGTTGTGAATATTGTGATAATGGTTCTGTCTGGTTCTGTATAGTCTTGGGTGTGGTCATATGTTTTTGTATGTGTCTTTTTTGAGATATGGAATATTTTTCAATATCTTTATCTAGCAATTGCTTTGAATGTCTCCGCTTCTTTTCCTCTTCCTCGTCCTCGTTGACTCATCTTAACAAAAATTAGACCCTTCACGAGAACACTTCCGTAATGCACTTCCGTAACATTACTTATATTGACCATAACTAAACCCGCACATAAACTTGAACTTTAATCAACGCACAAAGAAAATCATAATGCATGATACTATGTACCGTTTTTGTTTGTTCTTTGACTGAAATTCAAGTTCATGTACAGGTTTATCATCAGTATTTTACGTTATAATGTTATGTCTTACGGAAAAGCTTGTGTGGAAAGTCTTAAAGAGAATTCACGTAATGAAAGCTATTCTAAGCCATAGTATGTAGAATGACTACAACTATCCAAACATTAATAATAGTATCTATATGGCCTTCAGTGTGTGCCAATAAGGCATGTGAAAACATTTACTTCGCACTTCACTAAGATCTATAATAATAACTTCATCAGATAATAAAGAACATTGAAACATACTGACCTACTGATAGCAAACCAACTTCGAAAAAATCTTCAACTCTACGAAATTCTTTAACCGCCAACTGATAATGATCATGCGAGAGAATGATACTCTGAATAAGACAAAGCTTTGAATTGTGTAATATTATCGTGTTATCCTGATTTTTCACCGATAAACGAAATTTTCCTGAATCTAAAATCTGAAACTGACGACTATCTAATGGAGCATTAAAAAGTATAGGACTAACCCAGGGTTTACTGGAACGCACCACTTCTTTAGTTATATTTACAATATTTTGTGTAACTTGAAACTTTTCATGTCGCCTATTTGCTGCAAATGTTGATGAGGTTTGCGGCAAGCATTGCGGAAATACATCATATTATTTTCATATGGAAACATCAATCAGACAATTTATTTAGTGAGCCAAAGCGTCTCATGTTATCTACGAGATGTAAAAGACAATGAATAATGTATGAAAGAAATTCTGGACCATATATATCTTCTGCTTTATTCACAAAAATGTTTAACGCTGTTTGTGCAAAATCAAAACAGTCTTCCAATAAGGAAGAATTGACTAGAACTCGAATGGCGGAATGTAATAATAGAAAAAAATGTTTGTACACAACAGGTTTTATAAATCGTAATAAATAACTGGGACAGAAGAAGTTGACGATTTTTCGTGGCCTTAAATCCTCCATATTTTTTTATTAATTGCGGTTTTCGCGAAAATTCCTTAGGACAGTAATTTTTAACTTGCTGCAAACGTTTCGTCATAATTTCATTTGATCTGACTGAAAGTTTTAAATTTAGGTTACATTTGCCATCGACAAGAACGCTACTTATTTTGGAAACAACACCAAGACAGACTGTATACATGTAGTCGAAGATCGTTTGAGTTACCAACCCTAAAGAAAGCAAAGCAGAATCAAAATCTGATATGATGTTCTCCATCAATGTGATGTTTGTACTTTTCATTTGTACGGGGCCTATTTTGAATACCACGATAAGCAATTACTCCGAAACTATGACGAAGTCAACTTTCTCGAATCCAATATTTCGAACACGGAAATAGACTATCGTGACCTTTATGATCTAAACAAAAGCCCGCACAGGAGAATCAGCTATTACCTCAATTTAACCAGTTGATTATGAAAAACAATTCCTCTACGATTTAATATATCTCGAACTTCATCCACAAAAGATTGAAATAATTCCTTCGCGTTAGTTAGTTTCGATGAACCTCGCCAAACGTTTACAATTGTAAGTTTACTTTGAGGAATATTTGCAATCCTAATTTGTATCGGTCACATTTAAATTTTGTCCTGTCTATTCAGTGTGGCACCATCAGTGCTAAAGTCTATTATTAAAGTATCAAGTGGAATTAATTCCGGAGAGGTTTGTAGAAGAATGAAAAGAATTCCTGCCTCAAATCCTAAATGGAGATACCTCCTGTAATGTTAAGTATGAGTTGTGATTCCGATGGAATTTTCAAAAACGTTCTACAATCCTTTGGCAACGTGGATAAACAAGAATGTGTTTGAACAATCTGTAAAAGAGCATTTATTTGTGTATGAGACATATTACTACGTATAAAAACTTCAGCAAGACGTTCTTGAAAATTATTAATAGTTTATTAAATTATTAATAATATTTTGAGGCTCAAAATCTATCGCATCATCACAACTTAAAATGGTTTCAGCACATCTGAAGAATGCCTCATCAAACTTAATGCCTCATCATTAAAGGCAAATTGTATATCTTCAGCTGATGCATCAGAAGGTACAAAAGTTTCATTTTTTTTATCTGATTGCATTCCGCAAGAATTTGACCTTCGTCGACAAAGTCTGAATCAACTCTAACATTAGCAATATCTAAATTCTGCTGTTGTAGATATTCATTATGCGTAGCTCTCTCTAATTTTTTCAAACAACGACGATGGACTGCAGACAGTAAATGATAAGGCTTGCGACTGCGCCTGTTCGCCAAACACAACATATCGATGAAGTAAAATATAAAAGAAAGGAAATGAAAAAATAACTCGAGAAAGAATAAATGAAATCTGAAATGGAAAAATCTGAACAAAAAGACATAAATTTCTTTAACCAACTTAAAATTCAATAATATGTAATGAAATCTTAAAAATAATATTAATGAAATTATGTATTAAAGTAAGAATTAAATTATGTATTATGTAATGTGCTTGCAAGTAATTGAAGAAAATAATATATCAAAAATCTATTGGAAAGCAATTATATATACTCAATAAATAAAAACAGGATAAATATAATACTTGCAACAAATTATTACCTTGTCTGTTGCAATTATCTCGGCAATCTAACCTGCAAATTAAGAATAAAATTGTTTGAAGTATGAAAATATATATATATATATATAATTAATATATATAATTAAATATA